TTTCTTCGTCCGGGCTTGAATCCTTCCGAGGTCTTAAGAAGATGCTGTCGGTTTCCCCGAAGTGGCCTTCCGTCCTCCGTATTAACTCGATAGGAACGAGGAGCCACACATCCTTCAACCTATTCCTTCATGCTCCAGCCTTAGTCGTCGAGGAACCTCAGAGTGTCGGCCTTTTGCAGCACCTGTAGATGACACGCAGTCCTAAAGTTCTGACTGTGCTTACGTACTTGATGAGCCGGAATTACTCCGAAATCTGGAAGTAGTCCACGGAGTCTCCTTCCCATCAGCAGTTCGCAGGGAGCCCGACCGTCCTCCAGCGGTGCACACCGGTAGATCAGAAGCTCCCCCCCTCCCCCACGAAGTCCTAGTTCATATACCTCGTCTTTTTCATAAGCCTTTTCACGACCTGAACTCCCTTTTCCGCAAAGCCTTTGGGCCCTGAGAATTTCGGGCTCGAGATAACGTGAGGAAAATTACAAATAGCTGCGAATGCTTTGAAGTCACTCGATGCAAACTGAGGTCCTCCGTCGGTACAGACTTTAAGAGGAATTCCATGACGTGCGAAAATCATTGCTAGTTTCTCCATTACTTGACGACTCGTTGTCTGAGGCATGTGCTCCACTACCAAAAAATTGGAATATGCGTCGTAAACTACCAGATAAGACTTTCCTACCTGCTCGCAGAGGTCTACTCCGATACGTGCCCATGGTTGACGTGGGAATTCCTTTTGTAGAAGTGGCTCGGCAGGTTGTCGGTATGCGAAACGTTGACACGATGCACATTTGCTTAATTTACCAAAAATGTCTGCGCTCATGCCAGGCCAATACATCAAAAGTCGCGTTAGAGCTTTGCATTTGTTTACACCCAGGTGTCCCTCGTGCAATCGTTGAAGCATTTTCTTTCTCATTGAACTCGGAATAACTACTTTGGATACCCGCATTAGAATTCCATTAATGCAAGAGATTTCTGGCGCAAATGGAACCAGCGCTCCAGCGACGCTGCGGTTGTTTTCAATAGCGTCAAGTACTTGCCGTATGTCGACGTCCTGTGGCGTCGCTTCCGTTATCTTGGACACCATTGCGTCATTGACAAGACCTTTGAGGACGCTTGTCGCAGGAATAGCAACACCCTTTAGTTCGCTTGTTGGGCAGTTTTGCCTGGGGGCCCATATTTGAGAGAGTGCGTCGGCCAGGAGCAGGTCTTTTCCGGGAATAAACTGCAGAACGATATCAAACTGCATGAACCTTAGAAAAAATCTCTGTAGTCTGGGAGGCATTTCGCTCAGGTTCTTTTGAGATATCGCCAGTAGTGGTTGGTGGCCTGTCCCTACGACCACTTGATAGCAGGTGATAAAGTCTTGGAAACGTTCGCAGCCGAAAACTATACTCAGAGCCTCTTTTTCTATTGGAGCATACCGCGTTTCACTGCCTGCCAGTACGCGCGATGCATAAGCAACCGGGCGCGAGTCTTTGCCGTGAAGCTGCAACAGCGCTGCAGCGACAGCAAAACTTGATGAATCTGTCGATTTCTTTGTTTTCTTTGATGGGTCAAAAGATAGCTAGTACAGGGGCTGTCGTGAGCAGTTTGCACAGGTCCCTCCCTTCTTTGTCGTAGACGCTGGTCCACTCAAAAACGCTGTCACGCTTGATTAGACTACGCAAAGCTCGTGTTTTCTCTGACAAATTAGGCAAATACTTTCCGAAGTAATTTACGGCTCCCAACATCCGTTGTAATTCTTGCTTGCATGTCGGAGCCGGCAAGTCTGTGATGCACTTGGTCAAGTTTTCGTCTGGTTTTATGCCTTCATTGCTTATCATATCACCAAGGAACCGTATACTTTCAACCCCAAAAACACATTTTCCAAGGTTGAGTGCCAAACCTGCGGTTTGTCCTGCCTGTAGGACTGTTCGTAGGCGCTTGTCGTGCTCTTTCTGTAAAGCACCCCAACTCAGCACATCAACAATGTTGACAGGCGTCCCCTCAAGCTCATCAAATATACGGCTCATAGTTTTCTGAAACACTTCCGGGGCGGAATAAATTTCAAATGGTAGTCTTAAGAAGCGATATCTTCTAAACGGCGTGCTGAAGGTGCAGAGTTTTGAATTTGCATCATCCAATGGAATGGGGTGAAACCTGCAGTTAGCGTCTAATTCGCTAAAGACTTTGGCACCCGAAAGTTCGGCTTTCATTTCTTCTCGAACGTGCAGTTCATAATGCTCGCGCCTTAAGCTCTGATTCACGTGTCGTGGGTCCATACATACGCGGAGACGTCCGTCTTTGTTTCTGACAATAACAAGGAGACTCACCCAATCTGACTGCTCGTTCATTTTCTTGATGATGCCCTCGGCCTCCATGCGGTCCAACTCAATGCGTAGAAGGGCTTGAAGAGCGTGTGGCATTCTTCTCGGCGGCAGATCCACTGGCAGTAATCCCTCTTTGAGAGATAAAGCGAAAGCTTGCTTAGTACACCCAAGTCCTCTAAAAAGTGAAGGAAATTCACTCACGATGTTCTGCTTCAGCTCATCGAATGCATATACTGAAAGGACGCGTGACACCAGTCTGAAGTGCTCACATGCGTGTAGGCCTAATACGGCAATCTTTCCTTTCTTCAGGCCAAAAAAAAAAAAAACGTGACAGGCATTTTTTTTTTACCAACTTGCGGGGGTTTTGTGACGGTTCCGAAATGTTGGATCACTTCTGCTCCGTAGTTAGTAAGGAGTGTCTTCCAAGGGCTTGGCGCCGTTTTATTACTAACCTCGCGGAAGAAAGAATAGGGCAACAAATTCACGTGCACCGCATGCCCTGCTGGATGCGCCATGATTACACCGTGGCCGTGATTACCCAGCTAGTCGACTCGACCAGTTGACACACCGCCGATGTTGACAGACAAGGTTTGAAAGTCGTCGTCAGATTCATCGGACGATCGCTACTGGCTCTGTTCTTCAAATGGACGGAGCTGACAGTTTAATTCTTAAATCACTGGCTTTCGCCTGCACCATGCAGCAAAGTGGTCCTCTTTTTTGCATATTCCGCATTTCTTTCCCAGGCTGGGCACTTTCTCGGCTCATGGCTTCTATTGTAGTAACTGAAGTGAGCTTGTCTGGTCCAAGTATTACGCTGCTCCCTTGAATGCTCCTGCACAGCGGTGACCTTCACGTCCTTCTTCTCCCATGTATGGTTTTTGAGTGCTGCCAACTCTGCCTTTGCAGAATTCAATCGCTTTGTCAAGCGTGAGGTCTTTCTCCCGCAGGAGCCTCGTTCTCAATTTCGTATCTGCTGTACCGCACACCAGCTGATCTCGCACCAAGGAATCTTAGAGCTCACCGAAATTGCAGGTTTGCGCCTTCAGCTCTAAGTCTCGCAGAAATTGCTCGAAAGGTTCGTCCTCTTGCTGTTGCCGTGAACGGAACACATAGAGTTCGAACGTTTCGTTTCGCCTTGAGGTGCAGTAGTCTTCCAGCTTCAACACGATGGCGTCGTAGTTTTCCTGCCCTTCTGCCGACAGGCCGAACGTGTTGAAAATGTCAATAGCTTCTTGACCCGCCACAAACAGCGCTGCCTTCTGCGCCTTGGTTTGTGGCTTTGCGGTAGGCGTGGCCTTGGAATACAGTTCGATCCATTGCCGAAATTTCTTCCAGTTTTCGGCAGCATTCTATGACAGCACGAGGCGTTAAGGCGGCGGTAGTAGGCTTTCCATTCTGCAGGAAGCTTCAAGCTAGCAGGGGAGAATGAGTGTTCACCTGAAGGCAGAGCAGGGAATATCAGCTCAGCAGGGACCGAACGCTACATCCCACTTCTCACACCATGTTTAGGAATCAGGCCGTACACGTGGCAGCTGGAACGAGACTGTGATTTTTTTTTTAATGCCCGCGAGCCCGCCCCTCGGCTTGGGCCAACAGTGTTGCCAGCCTTAATACCAATACAGTTGTCACCGCCCCCCCCCCCCCCCCCCTTTTTAAGCGCACCATTGCCATGCCAAATCCATAGCTGATCACGCTTTCGGTCTCATCGGAGACCAAAATCTGACCTTCGGAGTTTTTCAAAACTGTAGATTCACATTGCAAATAACATTCGTTTAAGTCATTGCCCAAGCATTACTCTGGTTTATTTAAAGTTTTATTAATGAAGCATAAATTACCAACTTCTATATAGGTTCATGATGTACAGTCGGGGACAAAAGTCTCCAGGACACGCGAGCTGCGACTGAAATAAAGCCCCTTGATAAAGGTGTTTTTACAAGTACCGCCAACCATTGTTGTGGAAATGCGCAAGACACGTGCCACGAGCGGGTGCTCCGCCGCCATTCGCTTCCAAGGGCCGCTCGAGACCTGGGCCACGTGCGCTCGCGCATTTGGCGCTACTTGCAAAGAAAAACGAAAACATATCGAGGGGCTTTAGACTGAAACGCATTGCTCTGCCATCTGCCGGTGGGTCGCCTGGTTTCGAGATCACACAAAAGCGCATGCGCGTCCTACTGTGCGTGCCAACATGTGCGCTTTCCCGCTTTTCTGCGGCGCGGCGCCTAACTCGGAATCAGGCGCGGGGTACCGCCTCGGAGATAGCGCTTACTGACATGGCACCTATAAAGCAAGAAGTTACGGCAACTCAACTGAGCGATAAACTCAACTGGTTATAAAGCAAGGTGCGCTGACACAGCGAAATGCGGCGCAATGCCCAAGGCGGTATCTCGTGTTTCGGAATGTGTAGCAGACGCTCGTAAGCCGCCACCGCTATCTCCGAGGCGGTACCACGCGCCTGATTCCAAGTTAGGTGCTGTGACGCAGAAAAGCGGGAAAACACACATGTTTGCAGACAGAGTAGGACGGGCATGCGCTTTTGTGTGATCTCGAAACCAGGCGACCTGCCGGCAGATGGCAGAGCAATGCGTTTCAGCCGCAGCTCGCGTGTCCTGGAGACTTTTGTCCCCGACAGTACAAATCAGCTGCACCTCTCACTTATATGCTTTCGTACTCTAGAATTGAGCAGTCCAAATACTTATTCTAAGCCACTTTATTTTTCACCAGGATGCTTTTCTTGAATGACGTTGGAACCCAATGGTCCCACACGCCGTTGTGGTGCTCTGGGAATCCTGCAGGATCGATTTCTTTGTTAATTGGTGTCACCTCTAGTGCCTTAGAACACTCGATTTTCCACTTAAGGTCCTGAAGCACTTCGGCCTGAAAACAAATATATATATCGATGAATGTTTCCCATCTGACAGCTTATATGTACGATACTTTTTCAATTCCGGCAATGTAACTGCGCCGTTCTAATCGCATATCGGTCAAATAAAAATACACGAATCTTTATAGCGTATTTAGGGGACACCAGCTGAACAAACCAAGCACACAAATGTGAGGAGAACGAGAAAGACGCATTCAACCGCTAGACTACCAACTGCATTTAATCTACCATTAGTCTACCAACTGCCCTTCATCTTTATCGACAGGCTAGGATCAATGAAACCTATACTTCGTTTAGCCTTAAGTCCGAGCGCGGCCGATGTTATGAGCCGAAGGGCCAATCAAACAGCGAAAGAGGCGCAACGTCATGGCGTGCTCTCTGCAGTTGATAGGACTAGCCGTCTCTCTCTGGGTGCTCCTCCGCCGGCTAGTCCTATCAAGCGCAGAGAGCACGCCATGACTTTGCGCTTTTCGCGCTGTTTGATTGGCCCTCCGGCTCATAACATCGTCGGCGCTCGGACATAAGGTGAAATGAAGTATAGCTTGCTTCAATTCTTCCTTTTTTTCCTAATTTTAAACTAGGGCATCCTGCTCGTCTGTCTATTTGTGGGCGGTACTTCCACCTCGCAAGAACGTCCTCTCTTCTCTGGTTAAGGTCACAGATGGTGAAGTAACACACATCTCCCCTTTCTCTTCTATGTTTAAAGCTTCTATCAACTCACGTGCAAACCGGTTTCGATGGTGCCTCATGATGTTAACTTTGTCTAAGTAGTCACGACAATGTAGGGCAAGGTGATCCGTTGCCTTCAAGTTCTTCGAAATATTGGCATGTTCCCGAGTCATATCAATTATACACCGCCCGGTCTGTCCGACGTAAAAGCAGCCGCATGTCAGGGGTATGTGGTATATAACTAGGGTTTGGGGTTTTCGATTTAAACCAATAAAAACCGATAAAAGTACGCTGAACCAATTTTCCTAAATTCGGTTTTTACCGAAAAAGGTCAGTTTCTTTAGGTTCGGCATTTTCGATTTAAACTAATAAAAAACGATAAAAGTACGTCAAATCCATTTTTTAAAATTCAGTTTTAACTGGAAAAGGTCACTTTGACCTTTCTTTGTACAGCAGAGCCATGGCGAAAAAGTGGAACGTTAGTGCCTCTCGAAATGTGTAACAATGTATGGGATGCACCTATGTCATCATGACGTTTTCGTTTAATGTGCACATCATCGATTGGAACGTGATGTCCGAAATGCCCCATGAGTTCGCCATGTACGAGCGTGTTTCCAAACTCGTTGTAAGGAGGACTGACTTGATGCAAGCTCTGCATGTTGTGTTGGGCTTCAATACGTCGCAGCGTGTCTCATTTGGTGGTCGCAATTGGTTGATTGGCCGATTTTGGCTCAGGCAGCGCTCCATCTCATCAGTCTGCCAGTGCCCAGTGTCAGCGTTGAGAGGGCATTCTCGAAGCTTAGGTTCACATCAGCAGGAAAGAAAGAGTGCGGACCAACGAGGAGAACGTGAGAAAGTTATTCTGTGTACTATAATAAGATCACGTAATCCTGATGTACAGTAGATGAAGTTCCTTGTTTTTTGGGCACAGGCTTCATATCTATGACTTGTCTTTTCTTCTGTTGTTTTTTTTTTGTTTCTTTTACAGTTGCACACATTTGCGAAATAAAGTGTTAATATCTTTTTCAATGCATCTGTGCCATTATTCTTTGAGAGAACACAAATATCAGAGCTACTTGGATCAACTGATCCGGTGTCCGTTGGTGTTTATTTCAAATTCACCGAAAAAAGTCGATAATCTTTTGTTGGCATAAATATACGGCGAAAAAAAACGGAAAGTGAATTTTAAAATAAACACCAAAAAAGTTCACCGAATTTTGAAAAATAGAAACCGAAAACGCGGAACCCTATATATAACCTCCTTGTCGCACTGGCCATAAACGGTCTTGTGATTGGTGCCACACCCCTTGCTGTTGCTGGTTTGCCCCTGATTGACCTTGCGGCACAACGAGTAGGCCTTATTGGGCGCCGAACACAGCACTTGTACCTCGTGCCGATTTGCCATCTTCTTTAACCTATGAATTTATGGGACCATGAATATATGGGACAACAGCTTGAAGCCGTTGTCCAAGTAGCGCTTGTAAGGAGCATAGCTGCCAAAGCAGCACATGAAAGAAGCCCGCAGGTCAGTGATGAAGGGATTCAGGTTTTTGTAAACCTTAAACATCAAGCCCTCTCATGTCTGAGCTTTGGACCTACCATACAAGAACTGAGAAGCAAGGACCCTAAGCTTTGCCTTTCCGATAAGGAAGGAAGTTTTGTAGTTGTTGACTCAGGGGCTTTTGGAGAAAAAGCCCTTCAAGCCATGAACAGGAATTTTGTCCCGGTTGACATCAATAGAACAAAAGCAACAAAAAGAGACATTCTCACGATATTAGAGAGAAACCATCAGGGTGGTTTGTGCTCCAAGATCAAGGCAGACAGGATTGACCAGTTAACGGTGTTCTTCTCAGCCAAAACGCACAAAGAGGGACCTCCGTTCCGGCCAATTATTTCGGAGAGGAACACGTGGCAAGCTTGCGTGTCCAAATTTCTTTCCGAAAAGATCAACTTTGTTTCAATGCAAGACCCTTTCCGGATTTCCAATGCTGAAAATGTGGTATATTTTCTTAAAGAAAAAGGGAACATCATTGTGTCTGGGTTTTCCATGGACGTTCAAGACATGTTCTACTCCATTCCTCATGCACGTCTACTACAAGTTCTTCGGTCAAACATAGAAGACCAAGGCCTCACATCATTCCAGAATGCGGTAGGGATGCAAGTGAATACCTTCTTAGAACATTTGCGCTATTACCTATCAGCCACGGTCGTGGCCTACCTAGACCGCCACTACGTGCAGAGCGTGCGGAGCGTGCGGGCGTGCCGTGCCATCCAAGAAAGCATTAAAGGGATACTTCAACGAAATTTGAAATATTCCCGTCGTGTTCAAAAATATGTTGAATATGATCCATAATATCCGTAAATGAAAATCGCACGTTTGTATTTTGGCCCCGGGTGGCTGTATTTTTCTTTATAAATGGCCCACTCTGGCAAGCGCTCGGAGAAGGCCCAGTGGAGCCCACGTGACATCCAACGCAATCGTGACGTAGGTCGTCTCAGGACGAGCACAAAGCTACGGCGAGGCTGACGTCGAGAGGATGGCCTAGTCGTTCCAGCCACCGAAGCGGCTGCTTTGGTACGAATTTTGAGTGACGGGTTAATCTTCCGTAATCTTGTAGGGGGACAATATCGACTTCTGCAACACACGAAAGGCATTCTCGGGAAGAGAGGAGTTCCTCCTGCCCCTCTTCTCTCGTCGTGGCCGGAGGCGAGACAACCTCCGTCACTAGCTGTCGAGGTTAATAGACGGGCATCACAAGGGAGGTGTTAGCGACATCCACCAGGTGCTCTTTGCTAATCGTTCGATTCGTTTTAAAATTTCTTTTCGTGATTTTTTTAACAAGATATTGGTATGTTCGATGTGATGCTGCTCCTTTGAACACATATAGACCAAAAAATGAGCGCCGAAATTTCGTTGTAGTATCCCTTTAAAGATTCGAGAATCACGTCGATATTTAGGTATGTAGATGATTTTTTTTTTTTCATTTTATGCGCTACAGAAGTGGACGATCATATCGACGGGTACCTCAACAACACCCTTCAGCAGTCGTGCATGGGGCTCACTTTCACGCATGAGCTTCCAGTCAGAAAGACCGTCAAGCTTGTTGATTTGGTTTTGAAGTTCAGAGCAGATCATGTTTGCTGGAGATACCAAGCCCGTTCAGGCAAAGGGTTTCTCCCCTTCTCGTCTCAGCATTCAAAAACTGTTAAGCAGGCAGTGACTGTCACAGCCCTGTTTTCTAGCCTGAACAAATCATGTGAGCATCACATCTCCCGAAGTTTGAGTTACAAATATCCAGACTCGAGGACGCGGGCTACCCACGACGTCTAATTGCCTCCGTGTGCGAAAGAATTCGCCGCACCATCAAGACGACATGCGGACGCAACGACCATTCCACACAGCAAAAGAAGACAAAACCGTTTGTGGTTGTTCTATATATTCATGGGATTACACATAGGTTAAAAAAGAGGGCAAATCGGCACGAGGTACAAGTGCTGTGTTCGGCGCCCAATAAGACCTATTCGTTGTGCCGCAAGGTTAATCAGGGGAAAACCAGCAACAGCAAGGGGTGTGGCACCAATCACAGGACCGTTTATGCCCAGTGCCACAAGGAGGTTATATACCACATACCCATGACATGCGGCCGCTGTTACATCGGACAGACCGGGTGGTGTATAAATGATAGGACCCGGGAACATGCTCATAATTTGAAGAACTTGACGGCAGCAGGTATTTTAGCCCTACATTGCCATGACTGCAAGTGAAAGGCAAACTTAGACAAAGTTACCGTCATTGGGGCACCATCGAAACCGGTTTCCACGTGAGGTTTTAGAAGCTTTAAACATTGAAGAGAAAGGGGACATGTGTGTTACTTCACCATCTGTGACCTTAACCAGAGAAGAGAGGACGTTCTTGCGAGGTGGAGGTACCGCCCACAAGTAGACAGACGAGCAGGATGCCCTAGTTTGAGAATGAGGGAAAAAAGAAAGAAATGAAGCAACCTAGGTTTGATTGGTCCTAGCCTGTTGATAAAGGTGAAGTGTTTCATTAAACACAGTTGGTAGTTCAGCGGTTGAATGCATCTCTCTTGTTCTTCTCACATTTGTATGCTTGGTTCTCCTCTAAATTTATACTCTTTTCTTTCCGAAATGATAACGCTGTCTCACAGGCCGTAGTTTTTTCGTAAAGTTGTGCGCGATAGTTTTTGAATATTGATAGATAATTCTGGTCTCTTGACTCTGCGAATTTACCATTTAAGACGTTTTTTGTGTTAATTTTACAAAGAAGCTCTGGAGTTATCCAAGGCTTTCTTATGCGTTTATT